ACATAATGATATTCCTTTGACTCAAATTGTGTTATTTTAAAGAACTTCTATACTTTATCATGTGTATAAATTTTTTTAATAAATTTTCAAAATGAAATATATTATCGAAATGCTTTACTTTTATTTACGTTTAACGAATACAAAACGTAAGTTTAAAATAGAAAAATTATACTCTACTAAACGTATTAGTAGAGCGCATATACATTGTTAAGCGATTAAGTCTTTTATTGTTGATTTTAATCATTTTTTTGTTAATAGTTCTATCATTAGTCGGTTACTTACTTACTTTTATGACAATTTAGGAAAATTTATATATATATATATATATTCAATAGTCGTAATTATACACTTCTATTCTTCTCTATTCATATTACATTCCAGATGTAGTAAATATTTATCCCATATGAAATGCCTAAAAAATGTTTAAGTAGCATTTTAAAAATTAAAACTAATTGCAACCGAAATTTGTTAAGTAAACAGATATTTGAATAAGAGCGTTGAAAACCACACAATAAAGGTAAATAAAAAATGACGGAGGAAGGAAATGGAACTCTACCGCCACTGTATCTTTACTAGACAAGCATGAAAAATGCTTTGCTTTGCTCATAAAAATGTTAAAATTTGACTTATAAAATTTCGTGGGAATGCTTATGTTCATATGACTTTAAACTAGATAATCTTAAATTCGTCCAAGCGTTTAATATAAAGAAAATTAAATTGCAATAATCTTAATAGCGGATTTTTTAAAATAACTAGGCCGAAAGAAATATTTTGTTATAACGTTTTTTTAGTTTTGTACGGCTTTGTATTAAAATACAAGTCATAGAGAAGCGTATTTTTTCCTTAAGTAAAGTGGCAATCGTTCCTGTTAAATTAATTTAACCTCTGAAATAATTTGTTAAAGTATAGATATTTATCGAAGTTGTCTGTTCTGTATATTATTTTGAAGCAATTATTATGGAACTTATAAACTGACTACTGAAAAGATTAAAACTTTTATTACAATATTAAATAAGAAGTGGAAATTTCAACAAAGTATATATCACCTCTTTTAAAATTACTATAATAAACTTCTTTAATATCATGCTTTTATTTTTTATAATATTTTTTATTGTTTCAATTAACTATTAAAAAATAATTGTAGAACAATATTCGAAGGCTAAAAAATTCATTAAATAATTCATGAACTAACATAATATAATACAAAATATATTTTGTACTACATCTATATTTAACTATGTAAATGTGTGGGCATGGGGGGGGGGGGGGGGTGTGCATTTATCATTTAATAACGAGTATCGCATGCTTAATTGTATACTGAATTACTTGGTGAATTTTTTAGGTTATACAAATTGTTCTATTAATTTCAATTTCAAATTCCAAATATAATTAATTGCAATTTTAAAATAGCATATATATATATGTTTAATTTCCGATAAATAATTTATGTATAATTATAATCGAAAATATTATATTTATTTATTTAAGATGTGTTATGCAAGTAAGCTCGATGCAGAGAATATATTGTAAAATAAATTTGAAAGTATGATTAATTAAATTTCATCAACAAATGATATATTTAAACATAATTGGCAACTTTAATATCTAAATAATAATTGTTCGAATGTAATGTTGCAATTTTATGAAAAGCAATAAAAAATTATTTACAGATTATCGGAACAGTAAAAGAATCGTAAATAAAATACAAATAAAAGGTTTTATGTATCTTCATATTTATAAATAAAAATAAAAAATAAAAATAATTTTATAATGAAAATACTTTCATTTTTTGTAATAAATAATACATAAAGAATAATTATGATTAAATTATATATTCGTTAATATAAATTTGACGGAATAAAATTTTCAATTTTATTGAAAAGCGTAAATCTTTGTAATTTACAGCATCCAATATATTATATAAATTTAGTATGCATTGAAAAAAAATTGACGCTTTTATTATCATAAAATATTCAGTCCATATTAAGTTTGTATGATAAGCATTTTATTTCTTAAAATTTCTGACACGATAAAGTCTAGGAAAAACTACGAAATTACGTTGAAAAGATATTTACAATGTATATTGCATCTGTTATATTTGATTAGCTTTATTTTTTTTTTCCGACAGTTGATTAAGTTTCGTAATTAAATACTTGTAATTAATTTTATCTCACACTATTAGACGTTAGCCCGTATTTCTTTTAATTTCCTTTTTTGTTCAAATTCTAAGATTTAGGTTTTATTAGAATTAGTCTAAATTTATTCTTCAATTATAATTTATAAAGTATTGTCTTGCAGTACTTTTAGCAAGTAAGTAGATATTCATTAAATAAATAAGTACGCCCGCGTACACTTAATTGTTTGTGTGTGCGCATGTGTGTGCGTGTGTTAATATATATATATATATATATATATACATGTATACGTGTTTATACATACGTATTTCCATATAAACACGCGAGCGCGCAAATATATACAGATTTATATGAGTATAAAGTATTTCTTATTGTTCATAAATATAGGAGAATAATTTTAAGGAATATTGTAGATGATAAACCTGATACAATTTCTGCTCATCCGGCTGACCAATTCTCTTAAAAGTATGTGGAAATTGACCAAGTAAGAATTACGAGCAATGATGCATAAAGGCTTTTACTGTTCAAATACCGACAAATAATAAACTGGTTTTACAATCCGAACAAGCCTTAGTAATTTAAAAATTCGCGAATGTCATTTACGAAAATCTTCATTATTCTCACTCAGGGAAGATCACATAATTTTGTACGATGCTTTCAATGAATTATGAAACAGATAAATCCTTCTTCTGTTCTATTCAAATGATCAAATTTATAATCGTTTGTATTATGAATACATAGCTTTATATTGTTGCTAGAGCATGTAGAAATACACACTGGTAAATAATAAAATCTCGTTGGTTATAAAACGAATATTAAAATGTGAAATTAATCAAGCATATGCAATATTCTTTAAATAAATAAGACTTTCTATATTATAAGTAATAACGTAAATATTTCAATAAATCTATTGTTATCTTATGTTTCATAAAATTCAATTTTTTTAAAGAATTAAAAAAATTAAATAAATAATTTTCCACTGTTCTTTAATCTTGGTAATAAATTATCTTGGTATAACTATTGGAATAGAGAGATAATTAGTATTTTTACATTGATTATTGAATATATAAGAGAAGTTTTTAATTTTTTTTTTTTTTTTTTTTTTTTTGCTCTTTTCAATTAGAATGCTCTATATATGTCACATATTATAGTATTTTGTAAGTTAAATTTTGATTCGATAAATGTAAGTAATTTTTAGATTTTTATTATATTATGAATATACGTACAGTATTATCATAAAGTATTTCTTTCCGCTGTGAAATATATTCTAAACAATTTGGCATATTTATTTTAAAGAATATAATATATTTCATTATTGTCAGAGTATTTGATATATCTTACTGTCAAATATTAAAGTGAATTTTTCCCAAGCTAAGCTTTTTTTGTTTTTTTTTCTTATAATTTTTAATCAATTTCATCAAAATTTTATTATTCGAAACTCGTAATGCATCACCGCAATAAAATATAAAATTTAAAGTAGAAGACTAATTGCTTGTTTATTCTATACTAATCTAAGTTATGTTGTGCATAGACCGATATCGAAAATCTGCTGTATTAAGTACTTATAAGATGGATCTATGAGGATTACACGACAACAGAATGGATTGATTAATCCACCGAGGTTTAAATTATACGTTTAACAACATATTTAAGATTACACGTTTACGTAAATATTTATCAATATTAAGTTATACACACGAATAAATTGTTCTTATATTTAAAAATATAGTTGTAATTTTTTTTTGAACTTTGAAAATATCTGTATAGCAAGTAGCTTTCGCGAGAATGTTTTATGTGCGATTCGTGGTTAATCTTTTAATTAATTTAAATACTCGATAATTTACTCGGTATATTCTTCATTTGGTATTATGTAATTAAAGTGTTAAAATCGACAATTAACTTATTTATACAATTATTATAATTTGTGAAATTTATGGACATTGAGAACAACGTACTCGATTGTGTATAGAACATTAGCGAATATCAATTTGGAACAATTAAAATTAATGGAAAGATGTTGCGAACGTAGCACCAAGAGCATCCAAGTGGCTGCACATTCTAATATTGTTATTATTGTTATTATTGCTCAAATCAACATAATGCCATGTATTAATAAAATAAATATAAACGTATTATAAGAACGTTATAATAAATTTATGCAAAAACAATAAATAGATCAATATACCATCGTGTAGTATGCTGATTTATTGGGATAACTGAATTTTAATATATAAATCGAATATTCATGTCCCATTGTGTTCCCATTGAGAAGAAACAGAAATGCCAACGAATTTATCGATTCAATTATCCACAAAATTCATTACAATAAATTTTAGAAATTTTTAAAGCTACCGAAAATCACGATAATCAGTGCTTCTTTTTCTCCTGCATCGTTATCACTCACCTATACGTCCCTCATAATGGGCACTCTTTACTAGTATCAACTGACGATGATCAATCAATAAAATAGCGATAAACCAAGAATGTTCCAGTTCAATTTTCAGTCCACGTATGGTCGTTAGTAGCATTGGGTTAAACTTAAACGGTCGCTTTCACATCCGCCGAGTGTCGCAGCCACCCACACTCTACAATCTAATGGACAAATCTTCAACGTATCTTAACAAGAAAATATCAATGCAGGTGCCGTAAATCTACGAGGGCTGGCATAAATCCGAGTCGATTTTCTTTCTTTTCACCTACTCCCCAAGCCGCGTATCGCTTGTCCGAGAAGGCGACGATAATTCACGGAATCGCCAACAGCATCGAGCGGCGGGAGTCATGACTGAGGAGGGCTGGGTACCCGGGATATACCGGGACGAGCGATATAAGCGATAAATATTAAGGCGAAAATCGATTGTTCCCCAGGCGGAGGCGGGTAAGCCGGCTCGAGCAGCCAAGGGTCGTCAGCGCGGCTCCTGGCGCCTAGTACTGAGTCTCGCCCAGAGCCAGCCGACGAGGTTGGAGGTCCAGCGTGCCTGGGAGGAGGCCATGCACGAGCTCGCCCACGCGGACGTCGAGCTCGCGTACGTGGAGCAGCAGCCGGAAACGGCGAGCCACCCCACGGCCCTCCTCGGTCGTTTCTGCGCGGAGATCAAGGCCGGAAGGACGGCGCTGAGCCTCGTCATCGGAGCCGGACCCGCGGCCAGGTTCCTCGTCACGGCGGCGAGCTCGATGAGGCTGCCCACCCTCTGGCTGCCCTTTTCCCACCGGGATTTCATCAAGCAGGTAGGAAGGAGGTAGCGCTTAGCCCTTGCCCGACGTGAATGCCTCGCGCAACGAACGGCGAATCGAGGATGAGGAAGGGAGCGCAGTTACGGCCTAAGGGCAACGGGAGGGGATAGACGACCGCCTCGTGAAAGAGAAAATTGCAATTCAAATGCGAGGTTAAAAATTATGCCGAGAACTTTATAAAAAGACACTCGTGCTGCGGACTCTGCTGTGTGTGACCGCGCTTTACGTTAACCACCGGGGAAAGTATTTGTTAACCTGGAGCTCACAATACGTTCCGTACATAATTCACCGTCCTTGTAATCTTGCTGCAAATTTATTTTGCCAGCCATTATGAGAGTTGAGTAAAGCTGAATAAAAAGGTTTTTTTTTTGTTTTTTGTTTTTTGTTTTTTGTTTTTTGTTTTTTGTTTTTTGCTCATGAGATTGTTTAGTGTCGAAAATTTGAGAGCGTTGTTCACAAAGAATATAAATACGTAGCTATTTGAAAGTTTTTGACGTGCAGCCTGTTACTTTTAATTAATAATATTAAGATTATTATTAAGCGATAAACTATATTAATGACCACTTTTATGTATTAAAGTTATTTTAAAATTATTTGAATGGAAATATTCATTTTGATGTTTAATTAAAGCCTGTCATCGATGAATGATTGAGATTGAAAAATTTATTATTGAATTTCGAAAAAAAATATCGATGCTTTAACTTTCACTATTACTTTTTTTGGTTTTGTTTCTGTTTTTTGCTTTAATCAAACGATCATAGAAAGTTAATAAATCGATTGTTATATACATTTTTTTTTAAGAGCGTTGAAATTTCTTATATCCTTGAAAGTTGCAAGAACAAAGCATTAGATTTAAATTATTTCGGAAATTTGATATAAAATGTAGTTTCATTGAAAATCTATTTACGTATTATCGATAATCTAGCACTTGTTGGCAATATTATTTTTATTACGAGAAGTTAATGCCATAACGATAGAAAGCACAACATAACAATCACGTGAATACGATTGTTTAGTTTTGAAAATTTAAAATCCAAAAATGCATTTATAATTTCTGAATGCACACTATTTTAATGTGCTTTGACAAGTTATTGTTTTCATCAATAAGTTCAACGTTTAATAAAAAGCTGGAAAACTGTAATTTAGAAAAAATACATTTGAAAGAATACATTTCATTCAAATAAGATATAGTCGAGAGGGAAATAACATTTTAAAAAGGCAATGTTTTTATTAATTCTCTTTGCAAAATATTCATATTTAGCCTTTAAAATTTTATAAAATAATAATGTTCAAGTATTACAGTTGAGAAAACTCAAGAATTTACGATGCGTTTCACAATAATTTACCGCAAGGAACTATTCATTGAAAAACAATATTTGACTATACAAAAATATCAACTTCTTATCAATAAAAACATTACTATTAAGAAGAACGTTCAAATGGTATAAAATAAATATATTCATCATACATGTTAATTAATAATGAACTTTAGCTTTCCACGCTAAATAGCACATGTATGAGGATATAATTCTTCTAAAACTAAAATTCCTATCTTGTTTTGTCTTTTATTTATAATTAGCATATTTATTTTAATAGAAATACTAACAACACTGTATTTTTCATTATTATATACTTTTCATATTTTCCTTCGTGTGTTCTGTATTTTTAGATTTACGACTATATCGGGGTAGCTAGCATTCTAATAAGAGTTCTGCCATTTCTTCTGCGCAATACGAAAAGTATTTTTCATATAAAAAAATCATCATAAATTGGTCCAATAATAACTATGTACAATAACAATAATATTGCAATTATATCGCAATTTGTATTTAATAAATTTAGTTCTTCGCAAATAGAAAATTCAATTTCAAACTGTAGGAAAATTTACATTCAACGATATACACAAACATTATACATAACTTTATTCTTAATTTATCACAAAAGAATTAATATAATTTTATGGATCTTAATTATATTCATTTAAAACTTCATTATTTAAAGTGGAAAGTTAATAATTTTGTGCAAATATTCCATACGGATTGATTGAATTTTTCTTCGTTTTGTAATCGTTACAAAATAATTGTACAAGTTTTTCGAAAAATGAAGTGAATTGCCTTTTAATGCTTAACTTTTATTAGAAATTTATGAAAGTATGTTAATTATATTCACATATTGAGTCGTTCTGTTATTTCTCTAAACTCTAAAATAAATTCGAAAAATTCTTTTTAATAACACTATGTCGGTGGAAGATACATTCAAGTTTTTTTTTTTCTAAATATAATTTAAGTGTTAAAAAATAAAAAAGATTAACAAAAGTAATCTACAAAAATTATATAAAACTAATTATATAAAATTAATCTACTAAATAAAATTAATTTTTATACTAAATTATATTATGACTAATTCTAAATATACAATATCAGAACTTTTAATTCAAGCTAATGTTGAAAATATGTATAAATACTGTTTTAATATAATAGTAACATAAATAATTTAATAATTATTAACTATGATTCGATACGTGTCTAACGAAATTGTATTAATAATTTTAATAATAAAAAGTTAAAGAAAGAGTAAATAAAGTTTGTGAAATAATGGAGAAATGCAAAAATGAAAATTCGTAAATACATATTTTTATTAATTTCAATTATTATAATACAAACTCTCTTAAACATTCACTTAGTATATATGCATATACAAACTTAGATAAAAATTATTATTCTAAAAATATAATTAATTGTGTAATATTTTTTTATAAATTGAACGTTAAAAAGTAAATATTAAATTTAAAAATTTTATTTTCTCAATGTAATATTTACTTTAAATAGTCATTATAAAATGGATAATTTACAAATATTTTATATTTGTAAAAAATAATATTTTTCATAACATATAGCATTTATGACGTTTGAAATTCTAAATATTCTTACCTTATTTTAAATTAAAAATGCAAATTAAAAACTAACTGTAAAATATAAATTAATATGCTTGAAATGTTGTGTAAACAGTTTCACAAAATTAGTGTAAAGTTTATTATCATGTCGCTGAAAATAAAGGAAAAAGCATTTTTCTGAAATTAATCAAATAGCGTGTATGATTATTACTTTTAAACTTTATTCAAGCAATTATTAATAGTGAAAAAAGTTTAATCAATAATTATAAAATTAATTCCAAAAGTTTTCAAGCAAATTTTTTCGAGTGTTAGATTTAACAATTAAATAATTAAACAACTTCAGCATGATATATTTATAAAATATATTTTTACTATTAAGAGTAAAAATTTTTTTAACTCTAATCTATATGGAAAGACAATATGATAATCTGTTTTTAAACTCAAAATAATACAATTTATATGCTGAATATAAACGTCTATATATGACTTTTGACCCAAATACTCAACTTCAGTACAGAAGTCAATTTTTTTTTTTTTTTTTTCATTTATTCTCTTGTTATCAACTTATTTTTGTAACTTTTTACAATAGAATGTTAATAATCTTTAATTACTGCTTATAAATTGCTTCTATCGATGACAATTGATTTTTCCAATCTCATAGTTACTTTAAATTTCTTAAATATTTGAAAACAATCAAATTCATTGTTTTCTATAAGAAATGAATACGTTTGGCAATAATCTAGCTACGTATAGTTATATTACATGTATAAATTTATTTTTATTTTCATAAATTCCGACAATAATGAGTTCAGGGCCTTTCGAAATACTGGCATGTAGTACTCAACAATAGCATTGCATATTTATTTAAGTCTGTAGATTTTAGCAAATTAAACTCAAAACTATAAAGTAATTTATGGATAATTTAATTCGAGAGATAATTTTAAAGATATGTACGTATGAGTTTATTAAAATATATATAATTAACGAAAATTCGATAAAAATCTGATTAATGGGAATTTCTTTAGAAACTTTATAAAACATAAGCTCGAATTACTTACAAGCTTTTTCTCATTTTATGTATATTAAAATTACAAAGTAAAATGTTCGTATTGATATCAATACTTTTGTATTTTTTTTTTCATGGTAAATTAATGAGCTCATTACTGAGGAATATTAGTACAATATTTTCTAATGAATCGAGTAGATAACAAACTGGACAATTAATTTTACGGATTGTAGAAAACTTTTTATTATAGTGAAAGTACTCAAAAACAATTATTGAATTTATGTGATCCATAAATACTTTTATGATTTTGATTTTTACACTTTGTGTGTTTAATTTTTTAGTTAATGTGGTAATTAATGTAATAAAATTGTATGATATTTTACTCAATAAAATATAGTTAGGGTTATTTTTATTATTTAACAAATATAATTGTCTGGCATTATATCTAATTGATAATCTAAATTCTATCATTAATATATCATAAAAATGAAATGAAATGTCAAGAGAAAGTAAGTATTATGTTTTAAAAATTAAAGTTTAGATATTTATCTTTTACAAATAATATTATAGTATTAATTATGAATTTTTTCTAAGCCATATAAATAAGCACTACAAGTGTAAATAATAAATACATATGTGTTTACTCGAAAACTCATGAAATATATACATTAATTATTATTATTATTATTATTATTATTTTTTTTTTTTTTTTATTGTATATTAAACTTATGTGTTATTCATTGGAAAATAATTGTTTCATCACCTAAATTATAAAGCATATTGAGCTCATATGATGAATATTCAATCATTTTAATAATTATTTTAATTATTGTTATCTATATTTTTGAAAATTAATCATGTAAAAAATATATAAATTACGTTTATTAATTTATAAATTTGTTTCGAATAATTTTTACATAATTTAAATATTAAAGTAAAATATTATTGCTCTCATTAGGTTTAGCTAATAAAATGTAATGAAACATATGTACAGGATTTTTGCTTTTAATTTAATTTTTATTAAAAATAAAACGTAATTTATAAGCTCAGAGTGCTAATAATAAATAAATATTTTGTAATTAAAAAAGTGTATTT